TGTGGTATAATTCATTTTGTTATAACCGTTTTTTGCCGACCTGTAGTCCCATGGGAACACATGATGATAATTATGGTGTCCTTCTCCCGCTGATAAAAAGTTGATTAATTCGTTATCCGCTGGTCTTATGGTCCTAAGAACGAGAAACGTGTTATGCACATAAAATGTTTTTATTTATTTTAAAAACAAGCAAAAATACATTATCGAAATTACATGATGTTTTTATTTCTTGGCCGATTTATTCGGGTCTTGGTACTTCCGACAATGTGTGGTGTGTGCCATCGCCTCTGTTCAGCACAGTTTTTTTTATTAAATCTATAGATGGATATTTCAAATTGTAGGCTAATTTTAGTTTTGCAAAAATGTCGATGAAGACTGTGGTATAATTCATTTTGTTATAACCGTTTTCTGCCGACCTGTAGTCCCACGGGAACACATGATGATAATTATGATGTCCTTCTCCCGCTGATAAAAAGTTGATTAATTCGTTATCCGCTGGTCTTATGGTCCTAAGAACGAGAAACGTGTTATTAAAAAGGAAGAAATCAATAAATAATTAATTTTATAAAAATAGTCATTAAAGGTATACTGAGCGTATATTTTTTCATAATTGATAAGAGATATAATAATACTTTATTAATTATTTGAAGTATTATTTGTTTGACATTTATATATTGTCAATTAAACATATTAAATATGTGACCTTTTTTAGTTTTCTGTTGTACTATATATGTAGATGCAATTACACAATTTTATACGCAAATGGTAAATATCGTATATACGCGTGTAAATTACATACTTATCATACGGCCTGGTACCCCATGCATGAGCGATGCTATTGATAGTCCATACGGTGTTCAAAGTGATGATATATCGTATAAAAACTTGCGATATAATAGCTCTTCCCCAGGTCTCATTCCAGAGGTATACAGGCATTGCCGTAGGTAGGATAAAACCGAAAAAAAGTTGAAGCGGCAAGAAATATCTATAAAATCATAACAGCATTCAGAGTTAGTTTAAGTATATTCTATATATATTATTGTATTATTATATAAAATTAATTATATAAATAATTATATAAATAATAAAATATTATTATATAAAACAAATTACTAAATTTTTCGAAATTTTTAATAAGTTTTATTAGTAAGTAAAAAAGCGACATAACTTTTTATCAAAAGGCTACGACAGGATCAGACATAATATCTGACAGATCAAGCTTCTTGCTTTTCTCAATATATTCTGGATGTTCCTTCATCATCAGCCAACCGAAATGTGCAAAAAAAAAGCCGCGCTTCGTATTGTGAGGATCCGCGTTGGTATCGCAATACTTGTGATGCATACGATGGTATTTTACCCATTGGTACAATGCATTCTATAATCGTGTAGAAAAAAGTTTATTATATACGTACGTACTCTACTCGAAAATGATTGTAACTAAAGTCCTATCTATACCTTCAAATTACACATTATTGTATATAATGCAAGCAGTGTCGTTCAAACCATTAACAAAATTGTTTGAGAAATTAGAATTACCTGCGCACTTGCGCTGAAACATATCAAAAGCAAAATTCTCAATGATAACTTTGCTTTAAAGCTCTTATG